ATACTTGTGACATTTTGATTAAGAAAAAGAAATAGAAAATTAAGGGTACAGAGATCCCCTGTTTTAATAGAGAAGAAATGAAAATCCCAGTTAGCAAAAGAACAATTTCTGAGGATATAGAAATACCTCCTAATAGTGATAATAGCATCTGGGAAAGTGGAAAACCCATTATTTCTTCGGGAGGTGGCTATTGTAGAGGCCACGACAAAGTTAATGGAGAAGCATGAAGTGCTCATTCCAAAACTTTGATTAAGGTAAATACCGGGGAAAATATCCCGATACGGTACATCAATTTAAATGATCAAAGTATTAAGATCTATAGAGGGACTATAGTTGCAAATATTGAAAAAGTTGAAGAAATGTATGAATCTTGTACATATTCCATCAATTCCTTAAACATTGACCAAAATGATACTCATTTGCCAAAGCATTTAGAACAAATTGTGGAAAAACTCCCAAATTACACTGTATTTGGATTCAAAACGAAAAGAGAAATTTATTGACTTACTTAAGGAATTTTATAATAGTTTTTTCCAAAAGAATCCTCTGACATGGGTCTAGCTGAACTAGTGGAACACACTATAAATACGGGAAATGCAAAACCCATAAAACAACATCCCAGACAAATACCTCTTGCTAAATTTAAAGAAGCACACAAAGAAATCAATGACGTGTTAGATAAAAAGATTATCGAATCCTCGGACAGTCCATGGAGTTCTCCTATACAGCCCTTGTTAACAACAGGGTGGGACAATCCGGTTCTGTATCGATTACAGAAAACTTAATGACATAACAGTTAAAGACATTTTCCCAGAATAGACACGGCATTGGACGCTTTATTTGGATCAAAATGGTTTTCTACAGTTGACTTAAAAAGTGGGTACTGGCAGGTAAAAATGTCGCTAGAGGATAAACCCAAACTGCATTTTCAATTCCGGGGGGTGATCATTGGCAATTCCTAAACATGGACTTTGAAATGCTGGTGCCACATTTGAAAGACTTATGGAAAAGGTTTTATCTAACTTGTCATGGAAAATTTGGTTAGTATATCTAGACGATATCATTATTCTTTCCAAAAGTTTTGAAGAGCACATTGACAACCTGAGACAAGTTTTCACCCGACTAAAAGAAGCTAGTTTGAAAATGAGTCCAAAAAAATGTGCATTTTTACAAAAGGAAGTTTTATTTCTTGGGTATATTGTAAATGAACATAGGATATCAACTGACCCATCGAAGATTGACACAGTTTAAAAAAAAAAGGCCTATTCCCAAAAATGTTAGGGAAGTGAGACGTTTCCTAAGACACTGTTCCTATCACAGGAAATTTGTACATAAATTTGCAGATATTGCCAAACCTTTGCATAAGTTGACAAATCCCAACAAAAATTCTTATGGGAACGCAATTGTCAAGAAGCATTCGATACATTAAAGAAAGCTCTTATTGCCTCTGACATCTTAGCATTTCCAAAGGATGAGGGCCTGTTCATCCTTGACACAGACGCCTCCAATACGGGTTTAGGGGCAGTCCTTTCCCACGAACAAGATGGTATTGTCAAGGTCATAAGCTACTTTCGTAAAACTTTTAGTGCCCCTGAACGACGCTACTGTGTCACAAGAAGAGAACTATTAGCTATTGTCAAGTCAATAAAACAATTCCATCACTACTTCTCCGGAAAACTGTTCAAAGTGAGAACTGACCATGGCTGACTAACATGGCTTTTAAACTTTAAAAACTCAGAAGGTCAACTAGCCCGATGGTTGGAATCGCTCTCTTCCTATGACTTTAAGATTGAATACCGAGCAGGTCGATCACATAGCAATGCGGATGCCCTATCCAGTTGACCTTGTGTCGATCAAAATTGTAAACATTGCATGAGAGCTGAAACAAAGTATTGGTCAGAAATTATTGACAAAGTTATTAACGAACATGTTAGAACCATGCCTGAATCATGTCAGGTTGTCACTGGCCCTGGAAATCATGAAACTTTTTTTGCCATCTACTTCTCAAGATTCTAAAAAACAATTATCACTTCAAAATAGGTGTTTAGAACATTTGCAAGAAAATGACCCAGATATTATAAAGGTTATAGAATAGGTAAAATCCCAAAATTAACCTACCTGGGAAACTATGTAATAGTAAGATCATATGAAGAGAAATCTTCGTCACGAAGAATGGGCGGAGCGAAGCGGTGCCCAATCTTAGTGTCGAAGATTTCTCTTCATATGATCTTACTGACTTAGAACAGAACCTCAGCCAATCAAATGCAAGGATTAAAATAAGCTCCTCCCACGGCTGTGTCATATATAAGGCTCAACTTGACGGCTCGTTGTATATATCGAGCACGCAATCAACGTCGAACACACGCGGTTTCAGAATGGACTCCCAACCCATTCAGGTTAGCACGGGATTATATGAAATACCTTGATTTACTGGGGAAATGGTATGGTGAAGATATTAAAGTTACTGAACTAATGAATACCATAGGCGTCGGAAGCAAATGAAAGTGGGGGGGGGGGGCTAAACCAACAAGAAAGGTAAACCCTAATTTTCAATGTCTATATATATATATTTGCAACAAAAGTGGAGGGCTAAGCCTCCCCCCCCCCGGTTCCTACGCCTATGAATCCCATGTAACAAGAATCGTATTATCTACATTTTTGAAAAATGATCGTGTTAAAATGACAAGGCCCTAGTCAGCAGGAGTGGGTATGGCTGTCTAATATCAAATAAAAATTTGATGAAAATTGTGATTAAAACTGTCTTGAAAGACAAGTTTCGTCTCTGATATACATGACGATGTTTGTATTTTCTGTATGTACCGAAATGTGAAAAAAATAATATTCAAGAAGGCGACAAAAGATTACAATGGGAAAAAAAGTTAGCAAGGCCTAGAAAGTTTAAATATCATGATTGTAAAAAAGTTTAAATATCATGATTGTAAGCAGCACGTGGGTTTTGAATAGTTTCTTTTTGTGTGCTGAACAAAGACCAATGAAGACACACCCATATAACTGTCAAGCGAACCAATCAGACACCGTTGAATTTTTCAGAAATAGAAGAATTCTTCACCATGAAGAATCAATTCTTCGCGAAAAAAGGAAGCATTTGATTGGCTAAATAAGTAGGTTATGTTCTAAGTAATAGTAAGATCATATGAAGAGAAATCTTCGTCATGAAGAATGGGCGGAGCGAAGCGGAGCCCATTCTTCGTGACGAAGATTTCTCTTCATATGATCTTACTGACTTAAAACAGAACCTCAGCCAATCAAATGAATGGATTAAAAATAAACTCCTCCCACGACTGTGTCATATATAAGGCTCAACTTGACCGCTCGTTGTACATATCGAGGACGCAATCAATATCGAACACACGCGGTTTTAGAATCGACTCCAAAACCCATTCAGTTTAGCACGGGATTATATGAAATAGCTTGATTTTCTGGGAAAATGGTATGGTGAAGATATTTAAGTTACTGAACTAATGAATACCCATGTAACAAGAATCGAAATATCTATATTTTAAAAAAATGATTGTGTTAAGATGACAAGGCCCTAGTCAGCAGGAATGGGTATTAATGATTAAATCTGTCTTCAAAGACAAGGTTCGTCTCTGATATACAGGACGATGGTTGTATTTTCTGTATGTACCAAAATGTGAAAAAAATAATATTCAAAAAGGCGACAAAAGATTACAGTGGGAAAAAAGGTGTAGCAAGGCCTAGAACGTTTAAATATCATTGTAAACAGCACGTGGGTTTTGAATTGTTTCTTTTTGTGTGCTGAACAAAGACCAATGAAGACACACCCATATAACTGTCAAGTGAACCAATCAGATACCATTGAATTTTTCAGAAATAGAAGAATTCTTCACCATGAAGAATCAATTCTTGCCGAGAAATGGAAGCATTGGATTGAATAAGTAGGTTATGTTCTAAATCAAATTTGAGTGAAATATGCAAATAATACTGGGTTAGATTCGATTCCCTCAAATGGCAAGATAACATTCTTTATCATGAATGGGAACACATTACCCCAAAATTGCAAGTAATTCTTCCCAGTTCATTTGCCAAAGAAGTTTTGGAAGAAATCCACAGTGGCATCACTGGGGGACATCTGGGTTACAAAAAGACATTATCAAAAGCTCGAGACAAATATTTTGGGTATAAAATGTCTCATGACATTCGACATTACTGTCAAACTTGAATTTAGAACTACAAACAGTAGAGAAATTGTCATTCCAATTAAAAAAAATCAAGCTACACTTCTTTTGCTTTTTTTCAGGTCCATGGTATCTAGATATGTGAATATTTTTTATTTTCAATACCGGCCGCGAGTCAAAATATATGGTCTTGTGAATATTTATAAAAATATCAGATCTATGCGAGAGAGAATATCATGACCATAACACAAAGATTATCGATCTCGTAGCTTTTTCAACCACAACTTATACTGTTTATTCTTGGAGTATGAAATGGGGTTGATTAACTTTGCAGATTAATCGAAAAAAGATATTTTAAATCATTTGAAGTATGCAGATAATAAACCTATACCCTTAACCAAATACAATACTTTGCCTCATCAAAGAACTAAATCTCATTTTTTTTTCAGGGGTAGAAAATTTTAAAGTGTTACTGGTAACAATTATATTTTTACCATTTACACGATTAATTTACTTTATACCATAAGTATTTAAGGAATTTCTGTGAAAGATAGAGGGTAAAACATTGCTTGTTGCGGTCAGGACAAAATGCTGTGGTCATGACAAATTGTTATGGTCATGACAATTTTGTCATTGAGCCACTACAAAATATGACCTAAAACATACGTACCAATAAAAATATAACAGTATTTAATTCAAATCAAAACTCTTTCATTAACAACAACATAATTCAATTTAATTAGAACAATCTAAATTTCATCTTCTTCCTTCTGTATAAGTTCAAAACTCTTTCATAAACAACAACATAATTCAATTTAATTAGAACAATCTAAATTTCATCTTCTTCCTTCTGTATAAGTTCAATACTCTTTAATTAACAACAACATAATTCAATTTAATTAGAACAATCTAAATTTCATCTTCTTCCTTCTGTATAAGTTCCCAGATAGCAGGGTCAACCTCAACATGCCGTTTGGTAACTGGTCTAGGTGGATTCTTCAGCAAGGTTATTACATTTTCTTTGGCATACCACAGGGTATCCTCCAGCATAGGCCAAAAAAACCGATTATGCCCAACTCTGTGCATGGTTTTGACCTCTAACTCATCATCTTCATCAACCGCCAGTATGACTCCTGGATATGCTCGGCCGTCGTATTTGACGACACAGTATTTTGATACAAGACTTTCATCTACCTCCGAAATTCGATTAATCCGACTGGTTTCACAGATTGGCACATGCTCTTCTTCAGGAGACGAAGAACTGCAGACGTCAACAGTAGACTATAAATTAAAAGGAACGCATATTATGTTTCAATTTTTAATTATGCATATTTATCATTAGGCGTGTCGTGCAAAATAAATCACATTCTGCTGTTCACCGTCAATTTCAAATTTTGCATGACATAAATTACACGTATGTATGTAAACATTACCTGTAGAGGAAAACATGCTGATTCTGGCTGGAAGCAATGGCAGAAATTTGGCCTAGCACAAAAGCACGAGAGTTGTCTGTATAATAGCCTTCCTTGGTTAGGGACTATTATCTGAAAACAAAAAGTCCAAAATAAATTCTACTAACAAAAAATTCAATCCATTAATGTTCTAAGAACAACGTGTTTAAAACATTTGAAAAAAATACATCACAATATCTCTTCTTTTTTTTTTTGTCAACTTTAGTTCATTAAAATCAACAGAATATACCTGATGTATCTGCATAGTTTTTGGGACAGGTTTAATTGACAACGGAATTTCTTCTTCTAGGTCCTTAATAGCTTTTTCGGATACAGCCATTAGTTTAATTGATGTGGACGATTCAAGTGCTCTGAGAAAATCTGCAGCATTGGTGATGTCTCCACCTTTATTTACGTAGGCATCTGCCGTTCGTTTTACAACCGCTCCTACACCGTCAGCCGCCCCCTTTCCGTGGCCTGCCTCCAGGAAATTCCAAGTAGCAGATTTAAATCCGTATTGGAAGATCCTGTTGACAAGCAAAAAGAAATTTTGCTTGTTACGGTATTGCGTTGTAGGGCCATCACTTATAATATGTACAACAGTGACATTAGTTTCATTTCTCAAGTATTCCAATACAGGATGCATGTGTGCCCATATGCCTGCTGGGTTATGCTTAAGACAATCCGACACTGTACAAAATGACCAAACTTTGTCCTTTGTGTATGCCACTCCTGTGTGAAGGGATATTTGCTTTTGAGAAGAACCAAAATGCATACTTTGGATTTCACTTGAGTACTTGCAGTTATAATTCTCTGAGAAATCAATGTGAACTATCATTTCTTCAGTTGTTAGGTCCTCTCTCAAATATCTCAGAGTGCGATATTGATGTCGGCTACACGTTTAATATCATTGTTAACTTCTCCCTGGAGAACTTCCAGTGTGCCATAATCGTTTTCCTTTGATGTGACTGTCACTTTCTTGTGAATTGCATTTCCATTCATTGTGATCTCCTTGTCCACTTGCTTGGTTTTCCAGGTAAACCAGGAAACTTGCTTTCCCAAGTAAATATTCTGGTCAAATGCTACCTCTCTACTGCTGCAAACTCTACACTCTCGATACATGCACTCCTTCTTTTCGATATCACAGGTAACCGTTTGTAGAACCTTCTCGACTTCTTTTGTGTTAAGTACCCTCTCTTGAAAACCCTTTTCTAACTTGAAGTTGATATTCTGGCATATTCTACATAAACAGGTATCACGATCCTTTGCAGTTGGTCGAAGAATGTTGAAAGGCTTGAAACGGCAAAATAAACTGTAGGAAATCTTGCATGAAGTTTCAGTAAGGAACTTTGCATGAAGCGTTTTCAAGTCAAAATTTAGTAAACGTATCTGTTTCTTTATTCCCTTCCTGGTTATAGTAGCCTTCTTTCCAGCTTTCATTCTTGTGTTATCATCACGATTGAGAAATTCAGATACAAGATTCTTTGTCCTGGTAGTCACCTTTATACATCTTCTAGTCTGTTCCTTCTTTTTGACAGAAATTCCTAGAGACCGTTTAGCATACAGACCCATACGGTAACGTTTTAAAGTCTGGTATGCACATACGATACTTGAAATCTGACGCTTTTCTTGATTGCTTTTAGACATTTTGTATCGCTCTCTTACTCGATCAGTAATTGTCTGGTAAAGCATCAGAGCTTTTTTGGTTTCTCCTCTTTTAATTATTAGGTTAACCCTTTTGTGTAGATCTGATTTTGCATTGTTTTGTGTGCGTTGATATCTTTTTTTCCATTTCTCGAGTAGCCTATTTTGATGAAACAGTTTTATTTGCAGTTTCTTGATTGTTCGGTAGGCCTTAGCTCTGTCTCTTTTCTTTTTCTTCCGCCCATTCCTTCGCATTGTGTCTTCTCTCCTATTTTGATTTGCAACTGCATCGTGAAGCCTGATTGCATCGTGTGGTGGAGAAGTTGGTGGTGTTTCTGGAAGGCTATCTTTTAAACGCTTGTCTCGTTGTCGTTTGTTTGATTGTGCTATTCTCCATTCCCTTCTTTTTTTCCTCTGATCCCTTGCTGACATTTCTTTTATGCTTTTACGGTTTTTGTCATCCTTTTCTTTCCTCTTTTGATTTCTTTCTCTTTCTTTCTGTTTATACTGCTCATAAAGAGCGGGGTCTTCTCTTTGGCGCTGGCGCCAAAGGGCAGCTCTTTCTTTTCCCGACAAAACCATTGTTTTGCTTGACTTCTTCGAAGTTTAAGTTTGTCTTCTGATGCTGACAGTGAGTCATAAAGATCGCACACACGTGTCGCCCAACCGTCACTGTGGTCTTCCCCTAATGCAGAATAAAAGAAATATTCTACTTTGGCATGTGCTTTATCAGTACTGTCTAACTGTTTTCGAAACTCTGAAAACGAAAAGATACACAGTGATAAAAATATTTTAAAATATATACTAGTATGCATTTACACTTTAAACGGCTAAATCAGTAAATGTAGTATTTATTATTATTATTATTATTATTTTAATTTTTCATATACAATGAAGTTTATTTCTCTTGTGTTTTTTCTTTTGGTGTTGTTGTTTGTTTTTTTGTTGTCTTTTTTTTTCGCGGGGGGGGGGGGGGGGGGGGGGGGTTCGTGAGTTCCAGTCACATCCTAGCCAGAACTAAGGCTTGAAAATTAAAACAAGAAGCATGCGCATGGCATTTGAAGTGCAATTTGCTGATTTGTAAATTGAAATTAAAAAACCTTACGGGCATCCACACTTGTGGAAATATTCTTGCAATGAACTAAAGTAGCACACATACAAAAAAAATCCCCATAGGATGTTTAAAATACTTTCTTTTTAATAAGAATGTCATCTGAAAACATGACCGTAACATCCGTGTCATGACCGTACCAAAATTCTGTTATGGTTAATGACCGTTTCGGTAATGACATTTTCAAATTATTTTCCTAATGGGCTGCCTTATTTGGAAGATATCGTACATTCTAGAATGTCATTGCTAAAATTACCAAAGAAATATCTATACACATTTATTTTTTTTCCCCACCTCATATACACATTTTTGCTACTCTGCATACGGTCCTGAAGTTTAATTAAGGTACGGGAAAAACAACAATACTTACGTGTTAAAAGTTCATCATAAGTTTCCTCCTTCCTTTCTTTATCTGCCGCCATCCAAAGTTAGTCAGGTTGAACTTACCTCCTTCGTAGAAGATCGCATTATAAGTGCGACAACTCGCTCGTGATTTCAAGATTTTATTGACGTTTCGGTCATGACGAGCGAATCAGGGACACCAACATTCAAGAAAATTTAAAGTATTTCCGACTTCTATATGATATTTTGTGTAACTGTTTATCAATAAAATGGCAACATATACAAAAAATAATATTTATAGGTTTTAAAGGATATATTAATCAGAGAGAAAATCAACCGGAATACAGAGAATAGCTTTCGGGACAAAACCGAAATTCAATACTACAAAATAATTTTACATTATTTGAACACATTTTATAATTTATATTCAATTTTTCTCATTACTTAATTGAATTGATCTAAAAATACAAATTAATAAGAAAGTTTATTTGATTTGATCCATTTTAATATCAAAATATTTTCAAACATCCTAGGGACATGAATTCTCAAGGATTTGTAGAATGACCCCGTTGGGCATTAGACATATTGGGACCACTTCCCATTACCCATAAGAAAAACTCATACCTGCTAGTTGTAGGAGACTACTTTACAAAATGACTTGACGCAATCCCTATAAAAAACAAAAAGGCTACTACAATATCCTAAATATTATTGCAACATATAATACCTATCTTTGGAGTTCCAATGCAATTACACTCCGATCAAGGTCAAATGTTTGAGTCTACTATATTCCAAGAATTGTGTAAACTACTGGGAATAGAGAAGACCCGAACTTCACCTTACAGACCCCAATCTGACGGGATGATTGAAAGGGCTAATCGTACAATTGAAAATATGTTGTCAGCTTTTGTTGATAAAAATCAGAAAAATTGGGATGAGTTAGTACATTTACTCATGTTGGCGTATAGATCCTCGGTACTTGAATTCACAGGGATGAGCCCAAATGAGATGGTCTTTGGTCGACAAGTTGCACTCCTTATTGATCTAGTGCTTGGGAGACTTGACCCTGAAAGAAGCAACATTTCAGAATATATACAAAAATGAATGAGAAAATATCAAACTAAATTCCCAGAGTATGATAAGAGAGTATAATCCCTTTAAAATAGGCGATGCAGTATGGGTATACTACCGTGTAAGTAGAATTTTTAGCGAGGATTTAATTTTGGCATTATTAGCGAGGGTCCTCAGATCGCTAAAATTAAATATCGCTGAAAATTGATTGCATTTTATTTGTAATTATAGCTTCTTAAGTTAGTATTTTAAAATCGCTAAAATTACCTCTCGCTAAAAATAAATTACAATTTTTTAAGGAGAAATCGCTAAATTTGCGTCTCGCTAAAATTTCCACTTATACGGTATCTTAACCAAAATCTGGGTTTAGAACGAAAGTTATCCAGACATTGGGCAGGACCATTCAGAATCAAAGAGAAAATAAATGACATTGTCTACAAAATTCAAAAGCGCCCTAGACATAAGGGATGTAATTCACCATAATAGATTGAAAATCTACAATGGGATAAATATTCCCAAATGATTTCAATCACAACAAGCTAATTCAGAGAATTTGTGTCCCCCGCTTAGGGAAAAAATAAACCATGCGCAGTTCGGGGGGGGGGGGATCCCCTTGAGTGAATTTGTAGAATTATTAAATGTACATGTATACTGAAGCCAATAAAATATGCCAATATGGATATAAAGATCTGATTGCTTATTCTTTACTATGTGTATTGGAGATTCTTCTTATAAGGAATATTTATCACACTGTAATGATGATTTTATGAATTTGTTTGTACAAGCCAGACCTCATAATTTTTTTCATTTCACATGCTGAATACTATCATTTAGTAAAACAAAAAGTATTTCGGAAAAAAAAAAGAAAATGGATCGTCCGGGATTCGAACGGGGACCTTTCACATGAGAAGCGAGAGACATACCACTAGACCACGGAACTGCTTTACACTTCAGCAAATTATATCAAAGATGAAGTTACATCCATATATAGATTCACGTTCGATCTTGTCAAAATTTTACACAGTGCATGATGTCTAATTTATCCTTTATTAAACAGTTGTAATAGATGTAATAAGAATATAAAGTCCACCGAGAAACCTCTTTTATACGTAATAACTCTCCTCATGCCCCTGTGCTAAAAATAGCGACTTATAATACAATAAATACTAATAAAACAAACGGGGCGGTACACTTTGAGAGGGGTGAGAGAGGTCCTAGAAAGTTTTAAAAAATAAAAATTATAATCTTTATTCAGGTATAGGCATTGAGC